GTAGTGGTGGTAGTAGTAGTGGTAGTAGTAGTAGTGGTGGTAGTAGTAGTAGTGGTAGTAGTAACAGTAGTAGTAGTAGTAGTGGTAGTAGTAGTAGTAGTGGTGGTAGTAGTAACAGTAGTAGTAGTAGTGGTGGTGGTAGTAGTAGTAGTGGTAGTAGTAACAGTAGTAGTAGTAGTAGTAGTAGTAGTAGCAGTAATAGTAGTAGTAGTAGTGGTAGTAGTAGTGGTAGTAGTAGCAGTGGTAGTGGTGGAGTAGTAAGAGGAGGAGTAGTAGTAGTAGTGGTGGTGGTGGTGGTAGTAGTAGTAGTGGTAGTAGTAACAGTAGTAGTAGTAGTGTATTAGTAGTAGTAGTAGTAGTGGTAGTAGTAGTGGTAGTAGTAGCAGTGGTAGTGGTAGTAGAAGAAGGAGGAGTAGTAGTAGTAGTGGTAGTGGTGGTAGTAGTAGTAGTGGTAATAGTAGTGGTAGTAGTAACAGTAGTAATGGTAGTAGTTGTAGTGGTAGTAGTAGTGGAAGTAGTAGCAGTAACAGTAACAGTAGTAGTAGTAGAGTGGTAGTAGCAGTAGTAGTGGTGGTAGTAGTAGTGGTAGTAGTAGTGTTAGTGGAAGTAGTAGTAGTAGTGGTAGTAGCAGTAGTAGTAGTAGTAGTAGTAGTGGTGGTGGTGGTGTGGTAGTAGTGGTAGTATTGGTGGTAGTAGTAGTGGTAGTAGTAGTGTTAGTGGAAGTAGTAGTAGTAGTGGTAGTAGTAGTAGTTTTAGTATTGGTGGTAGTAGTAGTAGTGGTAGTAGTAGTGGTAGTAGTAGTAGTAGTAGTGGTAATAGTAACTGTAACAGTAACAGTAGGAGTAGTAGTAGTAGTAGTAGTAGTAGTAGTGGTAGTAGTAGTAGTGGTGGTAGTAGTAGTAGTATTGGTGGTGGTAGTAGTAGTGGTAGTAGTAGTGGTAGTAGTAGTAGTGGTAGTGGTAGTAGTAGTGGTGGTGGTGGTAGTAGTAGTGGTAGTAGTAGTAGTAGTAGTAGTAGTAGTAGTAGTGGTAGTAGTAGTAGTAGTAGTAGTAGTAGTAGTGGTAGTAGTAGTAGTAGTAGTAGTAGTAGTAGTAGTAGTGGTAGTGGTGGTGGTGGTGGTAGTAGTAGTAGTAGTAGTAGTAGTAGTAGTAGTAGTAGTAGTGGTGGTAGTGGTGGTGGTGGTAGTAGTAGTAGTAGTAGACTACATTAGGCTCCTAGACTGACCTCTAAACAAATAGCCCTTCATCAGTTGTTGTGACAGCAAATGTTTACCATATGACGCAGTTACGTAAACGTCCTTCGAGCCATCATTCTAAATAATCGTCCCTGTGCATGATACTAAATGTCCTCTAGAAGCGGACACGCCTTGATGTGGTAGAATATTGTTCAAGGTGCCATATCCTACTCTTTCACTCAATCTCACATTATCCTTGAAGGAGCAACGTGCCTTCCTTCAAAGGTCTGTAGATCAAGGAAAGGGTACGTCCTTAGTGCCAGCAGCAGGACGGTATGGTGAGGTCAGGTCAGGTGAAGTTGGGTTTAACGTCGTGCTTGAGAATATTTCGCTCATATGAGGACGTGCATGCGTGTGTATGTGTATGTGCGGCTGCTTGTATTAGCCCAGACTTAAGCTGGTTTTATAGTGCCGACCAGTTCTTGTTGTACCCATTAATGCCGAGCGCCAGATAGGGACCAACAAGTACCATATTTTAACGTCTTTTGGTATGACGCGGCCGGGATCGAACCCGCGACCTTCCTCTCTCCGGGCGGACGCTCTAACCACTACACTACGGGGGCGGCAGGGCGGTATGGTACTCACAAACCAAGAAACACAATAGGATGTGCCAGGATTCGAACCCAGGTTCCTGGCCTGACGAGGTACGCAGCTGTACGCAGTAAATGTTCACTTATCATCATCCTACCTGTGAGAGTATTCCGTGCTAATAGAAAACATAAATATAGTTCACGTATTAACTCCTTGAATGGTGAGCACATGATCATTGTAATTGATATCGCATTGACATAATGACGAAGCAGGCCTCCTCTGAGAGTAATACAAGTGAAATAAAAAGTTGAAAAAACGAAGACATTTCGAGTTGCATCTGCATGCACCAGTGTCACCCGTTGTGTGCAAATTGCTGTAACAAAACATATTACTGAAACATGACATTGGTGCTGTCAACTGCGCTTTTAACTTAACGACAGATGCCATTCTAAAGCCACGAGCAGGGTCATCTGAACAACTCGACTGTATCTTGTATGTAAAACATTCATATCGAATTGGGTGGGTTCGCCAAAAGTCAGTTTCAGGAATTCCATTTATTACATTTGAAAGAGCTAAAATATGCAATATGAAATATACTGAGTCAAAAAAGAAACTTCACAAAATGTAATTTGAAAAATAATGAATAATTTTTCTCTGATGATACATCTATGTATCCGAAATGGGATCCCTATCTTTCGACTCTAGAAAAACGTATGCGAAACCCACTCAAACCCATCCATTTGTCGTGCAAATGACGTTAGTGCCAAATCAGGTTTTGCACGTGCAGTTGATCACGTGATCTTCGCATCGAAGTTTCTTCATATGCACGCGTTTGCATTGGCCTCAAGAATTGAAAAAAACACTTTTAAAGCACAGTTCTAACGGTACTTGACTGACTGACTGACTGACTGAGTTTAGTTTTACGCCGCTTTTAGCAATATTCCAGCAATATCACGGCGGGGGACACCAGAAATGGGCTTAACACATTGTGCCCATGTGGGGAATCGAACCCGGGTCTTCGGCGTGACGAGCGGACGCTTTAACCACTAGGCTACCCCACTGCCCCCTAACGGTACTGGAAATGCCACGATTGTCAAATGTGCAACGTGAACGTGCCGTTGGCATGTTGCAAGCGGGAAGATCAGTTATTGACGTCGCAAGAGCAATGGGATGCAGCCGTCGTACTGTGTATGACTTGCGAGGTCGTCTACAACAAACTGGCACCACTTCTGATCGCCCAAGGTAGGGTCGTCCACGTGTGACGTCACGAGCAGAAGACCGTCAAATCGTCCTACGTCACCTACGTGACAGATTCCTGCCGCTACACGAACCAGGGCTGAGATGTTTAGAGGTCGACTGTCCTCACAGACCATTCCAAATCGGTTGCGGGCTGCCAATCTCCATTCTCGACGTCCATATCGTGGGCCAATATTGACGCTGTTTCATCAACGTCAACGTCTGCTGTGGGCCCAACGTCACCTCCGATGGACCCAGAGAGACTGGAATCGAGTCGTCTTTAGCGATGAATCCAGGTTTACCCTCAGATTCGCGGACGGCAGGCATAGCGTCTGGAGACGACGTCGTGAACGGTATGCCCAATGTTGTGTACAGGAAGTCGACAGATTCGGGGGCGGAAGTTGCATGGTATGGGGTGCTTTCTGTGGGAACAACCGTTCCCGACTTCTGGTCATCCGTGGAAACCTCACAGCTGCTGCTTACCGCGACCAGGTGCTAACCCCTGAACTCTTCCTTTCATGGCGGCTCATGGCCCAGGTCTACAGTTCCAGCATGATAATGCTCGGCCGCATACCGCGATTTTGACACGAAATTTCCTTCAAAACGCTGGAATCAATGTCATGGACTGGCCATCGAGCTCCCTGACCTTAATCCAATAGAGCACGTTTGGGATGCACTTGGGAGAAGGCTTCGTGGTCTTAGGAACCAACCTCAGACTTTGCAGGAACTTGGCGCTGCCTTGCAAGAGCAATGGCGCAGAATTCCCAACCACGTGTTCACAAGCATCAGGCAGTCGATAAGGAGACGGTGTTTGGCAGTGGTGAATGCGCGGGGCAGCCATACACGATATTGAACTGAGAAATTTCGCATTTTTATTCTTGTGACTTGACATTCTGTATACCCATGTTTTGGAACGGCGGTGTAGCCTAATGGAACTGATTATGGCACTGTCAGTGTATCGAGTACATCACACAGATCTCAGTAATGAAATAATAACAATTTAACCATCTTACCATCTCTTGTTCTTTAATAGTGCCCTGAAGAAGGAATGTGAAGTTTCTTTTTTTGACTCAGTAATATGATGAAAGAACAAGTTGATCTCGATTCCCATATTGGGCTTCTTCTGTTGTTTTTGTTCTTCATTTGAGAGATCACTTATATGTGTCCCCATACGTTCCTATATTGTGACCTGGGTATATTTCGTTTTTACAATTCCGGGGAATGTTATGAGAATTCGTTATCCCGAGGGACGATAAGTGTGTTTTTGCAAGTGAAAAATCACTGCAAAGAGCTGCGTTCCTCGGGCAGGCCAGGAGCCTGGGTTCGAATCCTGGCACGTCCTATTATGTTTCTTGGTTTGTCACTAAGGTCGTAAACGACTGACGCCTGCTTCAGTACGGGATTAGTAAGTGAGTGAGTGTGTTTAGTTTTAAGCCGCTTTTTTGCAATATTCCAGCAATATCACGGCAGGTTGACACCAGGAATAGGGATTTATACATTGTAGCCATGTGTGGAATCGAACCCGGATGTGTCGTGACGAGCCAAAGCTTTAACCACGAGGCTACCCTACCGCTCGATAAGATACCGATAATATACTTTCTTGGCAATGAGATTAGTATGATCGTTTATGGCAAAAGATATTGCCAACACAAACATACAAGCAAGTATGAGTTTTAGGTACATTTGTAAATACTTCTGCAAAACCGTTCTAACGAAGCAAAGCAGCTATACAGTATATACGATACTAGAATAACTAGTATTTTGCAAGCTTGAATCCGAATTCCATGGAACAGGATTTTCAGGTAGATATCATGCGACAAACAATTGTTAGTCTGTATTAGAAGACTTCTATAACAGAGACATTAGCTTGGACGCTGAGGACACTGCTCATCAGCAATATCCTCAGAACAAAGGCGTACATGGAGGAACGAGGTCGATCTTTGCATACTGAAAGACATGTCATATTACACACAGCGATCGATATGTCTTTGTGGAAAAACTTCAAGCTCCGTGGCAACTCTGATGCAGTTTATCTTTTGACCTATATTAACTGCCTTTCCTGGTGGTTGGGATAGTTTGTGGCTTGTTACGCCGCTCAATGTGAACCATCTATCGAACACCTGTGTCTTTGATTCTATATGCTTATATGTGGATAGCAAACTGTCCTAAGTTCTAAATGGAATCAAGCTACATATATTATCAGTATATTTTGCTTGTTCTACATCTGCGATATTGCATTGGGTGTGATGATGTCACGTTCATGTACCCAGCGGAGGCCTTGAACGGTGGTCTTGTAACGGACTTCGCTCTATGGACAAGAGGTGATACCGGTTCTCTCGTCGGCTGTACCAGCGACTGCCAACGTCACCACAAATGTGTATCCGTGTTCTACAACAGTGGTACTGACACTTGTACTGCCCATGCAGTCCAGATTTATCCCAACGATCCACGAACAACCGATGCTGGATCTGTCTACTATACTTTACCCATAGGTAGGCTGCACGTTCCACATTGACTCAGTGTTGGTTTATAAGGAATTCTAACTTTTTTGAGTGGCATTTAGAAGTTGGTATGATGAACAGGAATGCTTTTTTATGGATAGACAACTTCTTCGTTTCTATCGATGCGACGTTTCGGGGTAGATGCTAACACTGTTATAAAGCAAGTCGCATCAATTGCAATAAAAATGTTGTCTATCCATAAAAATGTTCCCGCTTATAAGTATTATGCTTTCTTATTTTTGTTATTTTTATTTGTTGTTTATTTGTTTTCTTTGAGACACACGAATGTGGATATGAATTGTCACACAATCTAATTCGGAATGTCAAGAGATTTATAAGATTCGACTTTTCCAAAGCAGATTCCATACGACGTGAAATAGAATATTTGTAATAATAAGGTTTTTGACTAATGTAAATTCTGCGTTGATTCCAAGTGTTCACTTGAAGCCTCTACCTGTAGTACCCACCGCTGCGACGTAATTTTAACTTAAATAATACCGATATTGATTTGTGTGATATTGCCGTGCAACTGACAAAGTTGCAAATAAGTTTAAAATATCAGATTCATTTTCGAAATTACTGTGTAGGCTTTAGTTTGCAAACATATTTTCCCCACATCATATAATTTGTGAAATAATGCTATAGCAAAAGCGAAAATTTATGTGACCATGAATCCATAGTTTTCCTTTGTGTTTGACCCGTGAAGATCCGGGGTAGAATAGGTCTTCAGCAACCCATTCTTGTCATAACAGGCGACTATGCTTGTCGTAAAAGGCGACTAACGGGATCGGGTGGTCAGGCTCGCCGACTTTTGGTTGACACATGTCATCGGTTCCCAATTGCGTGGATCGATGCTCATGCTGTTGATCACTGGATTGTCTGGTCCAGACTCGATTATTTACAGACCGCCGCCATATAGCTGGAATATTGCTGAGTGCGGCGTAAAACTAAACTCACTCACTCACTCCTTTGTGTTTAGAGCACATGTAGTCGTCTTTACAGTGGACTATTGAATAAAGCTCACATTTAATATGATCTTATCAATAAAACTTGTTAAAGTACTTGTACACTGTAACATGACTTAATATGAGGCATTGCCAATCCCAAAGGAGGTGTACCATATACTTTCTTGTGGTTAAAGCGTTTGCTCGTCACGCCGAAAGGCTCGCGTTCGATTCCCTACAAGGGTACAATGTGTGAAGCCCATTTCTGGTGTGCCCCGCCGTGATATTGCTGGAATATTGCTACAGGATGGCGTAAAACCAGAGCACAAACAACCTACGCTAACAGGCGCGTAATGGGTGTTTGTTGTCGCACTCAGCCAATGTCCTAGGTATAAGACGGCGTAAATAGTAGACTGTAGTGATTGGCATCATGAACTTCTATCTACGCTCTTGGGATATGATGACATGTGTCAACCTAGTCAGTGAACCTGATCCCGGTAGCCGCCTGACTACAAACCAGTTTTAACCCGGGTCTTCACGAGTTAGGCGTTAAATACATCGGGTGGTGGGTGATACGTTTGACAGCCCGTCATCACATCCCGGAAGTTGGGATCGTTGCACATAATACACGCAACATATAGCTTGACTTTTGCTGCGATCCTTTCAAAACAAAATAGGTCAGAGCAAAGAATGCCCAGTTTTGAAACAGATTTTATACATTAATTTCCACATGGGTACAACGTGTAAAGCCCACTTTTGGTGTCCCCAGTGGGATATTGCTGGAATATTGCTAGAAGCGGCGTAAAACCATAGTCACTCACTCACTACAATAATTCACTATTAATTGTACGGAGATTTTGTTGACAACACGTGGAGGGCATTCCCATATTATTTCCGTATTTTCACTTGCAGCGTTTTGATGCACCTTTGCAAGTTTAACTATGAATCTGTAAGCATGGATTTAAACACTACACAGATGAGGTGGTCACGCTAGTTTCCTTTATTTGTAGTTAAGATGATAAATCAGTGGACAATCACACAATCTCCTCAAGGAACTACAAAATACTACAAAGTTTTTTTCAGTGATCCATTCTTCAACGTTTACGTCTTTATTTACCAAAATACTTTTTCAGGGGAATACCAATCAATCGCACAGTCTCTTTACGGAACTACCAAATCAAACATTTATTTTCAATGATCCATTGTTCAACGTTTGCGTCTATATTTCCTAAATAGTTTTTCAGGGGAATACTAATCACATAACTTAAGAGGCTACTATATTGTTTCCGAGAATTTTATGACAAACTGTACGACAGTTAAATAAATAAAGTGAGCTCTGTGAGTAAGTGTACAGTATGTTCGTAACTAGTGTGACTGTATAGTGTATATATTTATCTGTAGTTGTTCGCCCCAACAAAACCAAATTGTGTGAGTCAGTAGGGATTTACGCAGCCTTTGACAATGTCCAAGCACAATGGTTCAAGCTATCTTGTATTTTCCTCAGACTGCTTTCGTCAACAGGCTCAATGTCTATTTGAAGACCTCTCTGGCATAAGAATATAACACACAGTGGATAATAAAACGTTCAACATCAAATACGTACAAAATTGGCCAACATACTTTAAGGCAAAACGGTTTTTTAGATAAAAATATGCAGAAACAAATTCTATTATTCCTATATTTGCTTCGGGTGACAGAGCTGATAATAAAGATTATCATATGTTCATTTAGGTCATTCTGCAGTGTATTATTTGGGGAGTCTAGTACCATAACATTGAAATTATGGATGTTGCTAATATTTATTTGTCCATTGTCCTTCTTATTCTGTGTTGACAATCTAGTATATTTTAAATCAGTCACTGATGATGGCAAACATGATTTTCTCTATTGTTTCAGTAAAATGTACTTGGTAAAAAGATACTTGAAGTATGATGGATGATCTTGTTACACACACTGAAGTGACCCAAATGGTAAAAGGTTGAAAAGTACTCAGGGCGTTTTATTGTCGAGCATTCTGTGAAATACACCTGTTTTGTGAACTAAAGAAAGCTTTATGGTATAGTTTCTTCTAAGTTACTCCCCTAACAGATCCAAATGTATTTCTTAAGGCATCTAATAAAAAAAATTCTAATATCATTTCTTGGCCCTCATCAAAATTGTTCCAGGTGTTCTCACAGTAATAAGATATTGGTAATATGTAAGAGTTGCACAAATCTGTTCGCTGTTTCTATTCAAAAGATATTTGAAACATCATCAGCTATTTGACATTGGACCTACTTTGGGTATAATGTCATTATAATGCAATTGCCACTGACCATCTCGTTACAATGTGCGTCTTGTCAATATCACGGCAGGGTGCGCCTGCAATGGACTTCACTTTGTGTATTCATGAGTGGAATCGAACTCTTTGACATGATGAGTGAGCACTTTAACCACAACACCACCCTATTACAGTAATGGGCAAGTTGTTAGGCTGACAAACCTGACATGTCTAGACACGACATCTACCAAGAACTGCACTCATACAAATTTGTTTTAAAGAAATCCAAACTAATGACATGGACTATCATATTTTACACTTTGGAAAACTTCCTTGTTGCCGACTTCCTTGTTGCTTCTAACGTTGTTAAGAAAAGAACAACCTGTGTAGAGATAATAACAGCAACAAGACATATTTTCAATGGTTTATTGTATCTAGCTTCACAAAACGACAACTCTCAGAAGCAATAGAAGTCAGACATCACAAACCTTTGAAACTTTAGTCTACAGACGGTTGTTACATCCCCTGTACCTATGAAGTTGGAATCAAGAGAGTCATGTCCCTTTTTATTTCAGCGTATTATTTATGAATCCTTCGTACATCTGGTTTAATTGCCTGTGTGCCCTTTGTTTGTTCTCACTACGTATCTGGATTCATCCACTTATTTGCTTGTTGCTCATTATCCATTACCTGATGATAAGCTTAACTTGATGCTCATTATCCATTACCTGATGATAAGCTTAACTTGATGCTCATTATCCATTACCTGATGATAAGCTTAACTTGATGCTCATTATCCATTACCTGATGATAAGCTTAACTTGATGCTCATTATCTATTACCTGATGATAAGCTTAACTTGATGCTCATTATCCATTACCGGATGATAAGCTTAACTTGATGCTCATTATCCATTACCGGATGATAAGCTTAACTTGATGCTCATTATCCATTACCTGATGATAAGCTTAACTTGATGCTCATTATCCATTACCTGATGATAAGCTAACTTGATGCTCATTATCCATTACCTGATGATAAGCTAACTTGATGCTCATTATCCATTACCTGATGATAAGCTTAACTTGATGCTCATTATCCATTACCTGATGATAAGCTTAACTTGATGCTCATTATCCATTACCTGATGATAAGCTTAACTTGATGCTCATTATCCATTACCTGATGATAAGCTTAACTTGATGCTCATTATCCATTACCTGATGATAAGCTAACTTTGCCTATCACAACATAGCAGATGCCTGGCCAGCTTAATGGCTTGTTTGTTATTTAACGCCATGCCCAGTACAGATCGAAATGTGGGTTCACGAAGTCACTTCAGGAATTCCTTCATTGCACTTGCAAGAGTGAGTGAGTTTAGTTTTACGCCGCTTTTAACAATATTCCAGCAATATCACGGCGGGGGACACAAGATATAGGCTTCACACACTGACATTAGCAAGAACAATATACTTGACCTTTTGGCCGTTGTCATATAGCTTGACTATCGCTCATTAGAGATTTAAACTACAAACTAACTAGGCACGTGATGAAACTAAACACATGACATAAATGTATTTCAGCAGAAACAATATTATATATGTACCTGCCCATATGACGATTAACCTTTGAGGCAGCAGTAGGCTTCCTCTTGATCTCATCGTGTACGCCCATCATAAGGGATATTTATAAATATTTTAATGTGAAAACAGTTAAGGATCTTTTTACAAATGTTAATTTTCATATATTTTTTGTTTTTTTTAAAGAAATTGATTTATTTGATGAATTCTGATTCATGTGTTTTGTAAATAGATATATTTTAAAGATTGGTAGTTTAGATTAGTAACTTAGATTGTTAGTGGCTGAACCCTCAAAGGGGGTTAAAGTATTGTAAAATTATTGTCCCCACATTTTAAATGTAGTATTTTTGTTTCTTAAACTGTCGGCTAAACTATCCTACAATCGCCAGCGGCTTAAGGGAAGGTGTAAATCCAGCTAGGGTCCATACAGGTAGCGAAAGTAATGTAAGTCCCCATGGTTCCTAGTATGGTGATCTACCTTCAGTTGCTGGCGATCTATAGCCTGTGTTTTATACTGTTTTGTCTTCTTTAATTGGAATGTTTTAGCTTTACATGCTAGTTTTATATTCATATCTGTGATTCTCTAGTGTTTTTACTGTCCATCGTCGACAGGTTTTAATCTTCAAAATGTTTTCACTTGTTATTGTATAAATTGTTTTCGTCACGATATGGTTGAGATATTGCCGATGTGACGTTAAATATTAACTCACTTACTCACTCACTCATCTTGTACGCCCATCTGTCCGATGTGTTACTATATGTGTACATTGATTTCAGGTGTAACAATGATCTGAAAACTTTCACAATTGATCATAAGGCAAAGTCCTGATCGATTAACCCACCAGAACTAGAAAATACAGAGGTCAGAATCAGCTCTGTTTATGGCACAGATGTCTCATGGATGTGTTCTTTTAATAACACAGCTGTCAGTTCAGCCGTAGGTTTGTAAATATCCGAGTCGAGATCAGACAAACTAGTGACTGATAACGGGAGCAACAATGTTATCGACACATTCATTTGGTAAGAGGCGACTGACGGGATCGGGTAGTCAGGCTCGCTGACACATGTCATCGTATCCCATTTGCGTAGATGCTCATGCTGTTGAGCACTGGGTTGTCTGCTCCAGACTTTATTTACAGACTGCCGCCATATAGCTGGAATATTGCTGAGTGCAGCGTAAAACTAAACTCACTCACTCTAGTCCATGTAACATTAATATCTGGTACATCTTGAAATATCCCGGTGTAACAGGCCATAGTATACCCCTATCCCAGACTATAACCGGGTCTAAACTGGGCTAGCCCAGACTATACCCCAGGTATAATCTTGGCTAGCTTAGTTTATACCCCGGGGTATATTCTGGACTAGGCCATAACACACACACACACACACACACACACACACACACACACACACACACACACACACACACACACACACACACACACACACACACACACACACACACACCAGCCAAGATTATACCCTACAGAAAAGAAGTGATTAAGGATACTATTATAATTTTATTGTTCTTCTCACACAATTAAACACTGGTTACAACATTGAAATGGTCGGATACATATTCCAGGTACAAAGCATGATCAGTCTGGGTTTTCAAGCTGAATTTGGCAGGGTATGTCAGCCATTGCATTGACTGACCAACTGTACTGTAAATGTAAATGTCACATCTTAACAGACTTGCGGTTGACACAACTTCTGCATCTCTTGCCCACACTCCATCTCGTGAAATTCCTGAATTAGTGATGTACTCATTGACATTTTGGTTCAGGAAATGTTTGAGTTCATCATTAATGTCATTGTTCATATGCTGAACCACTCGATGTCGGATAGTGCTGTGACTGTCCTCGGATCCCGTCAGGCTGTAATTCGAAGTAGCCTTTGGTTCGGTATGTCCGACGGCGTGCTGTCAAGTCCGTTGATCTTCCCGCAATAAATGTCCTTTGAAGAGTTCAGGCCTAATGCAGCAGCCATATTCCTTAGAGCAATTTGGCGGATAGGGTTGACTTGATTTGTTAGGTAGTAAGGTCTGTATGGTATGGTATTGTTAGAAGGTGAAAATGAATCCCTAAAGCATTAAGAGAATTACAGCAGATTCCGTATTTCGATTAGCAGTATGACTTCAGAACTGATAACATTTCATGACTAAGAACGGTTAGACACATGGAGACAGAAAGTCGGGAATAAGAGAAAGATAAACATTCAGATATGAACTTGGCTAAAACTTTTCGTGAGGCGAAAACACGACAAGGTCGTAAGAGGAAGGTTACGAAATACATGAGTTAAAGGGCGGAGACGGAAGTAGTAAATCACTGAATAGGGGAGTCACTGAACGGTGCTGTCCGAGACCCTCATATTATAATACACATGCGTGAAAGGACAGATACAGTTATTAACGAATCAAAACAATATGTTGAAATATGTGATCAAGATCAGGTCAGGCTCGTCTCATTTAAAAAGGCATGTTTGGTTCGTTGCTTCGGTTCGTCAACAGAATCACTAGGGCTTTCGGGTCTTCTGTGTAAAGGAAATTTTGCCTACTTCCTTTCATGAAAGGATGCAAAAACATGTCAGTTTTGTTTTGTGAAGTTGACGGATTCAAATATATGAAACAGAGAAATTGCACGTTTTGCATTCCTGTTCCTTGTTACACGGTTTGCAATTGCCTGTAGTATCTCTTTCATTGTTTGTTGGCCGCACTCTTTTTCTTGCAATCTTCTAACGATAAAACGTCGGCTCATTTTCACTGATACAATTACGCTTTATGGTTGTATGTGCTTTTGACTTTCAGACATCCAAGTTATATTTCTGTTTAATGTCAGTTCAAAGCATATCTTTGTAATATCTTCCAAACAAATCAATATACTTCAAACAAATACTGATCCATACGTCTACAGATATTTCTCACAAAAATTGTAACTCACGAAATGTTCATTTTATAGTAAAGAAGTTCATCTTCGAATAATTAGTTATATAGTTCGTTTCATCCCTCCGTAAATTCAAAAGTTTCAGGCGGAGACTGATCTGGTATGCATTCATACAATGTTTGCTGATTTGTTTTGGTTTCCATGACCACCCGAACCTGTGAGTAGGGTTCTCATCAATATCTATGCGGTCTGTCATTTAGACATCCATGAAGCATTAGATGTTAGTATATGATACATTTGGTTTTACTTCAAATTAAATGAAATAATATGAAAGATAAAACCTCAGAGCAATATGAAGTTTTAGTTTCAAACGGCACCCGTGTTTAGAATTGGTTGTTTTGTACTTTTTATACCCAAGACGCTTTTTCAGTCATCTTTGAAAGAGATAACCAAAATACTGTGGGAGACGTGGAGAACGGTACATAAAGATCTGGAGCTATTATTCTGTCCTCTCTTTCCTCTAATCTCACATTACATCACAAGTCACAGGAAGACCAGGGCCCCGTTCCTCAAAGCGATCGTAGCGCTACGACGGTCGTAGGTCTGTGCTAAAGTATGGGAGTTACAATCATCTAAAGCGCTGCAATCGCTTTGAGGAACGGGGCCCTGCATGGTTTGTGACGATCATTACACCCTTGTTTACTCTGCCTAGTTACAAGTTACACACACACACACACACACACACCTCCCAGTGATTTTTTTGGTACTGACATGAATTGATTTTCAGAACTTAGTCAATTTTAGAATGCAATTGTTAACTACATCATTTCTTTGTTGTGTGTTGCTTTCCCACCTGGTACTTTTACAGACTGATTCCTGGTCAACTATTTCGTGTCAGCTTGATAATCAACACGTAACAGAAATTGGGGGCTCACCCGGGATCAATGGTCGAATTGGCCAAAACTATCAAATCTCTTATGTTAAAAGACGATGTCAAGAACATTGTGATCACATTCCTGTTTGAGGAAGTTTTTTTAGCGCAGAATACCCTGGGAACCATATTGTTCCATAAGCCATGATTACGGTTTTTTATCAATATTTCTAGGAAAAGCAATTAACTCGGAGATGTCTGTTATTGAAAATTTTAATTATTCACTACATACTTAATTGTTGTTGCATTGTTCTACTTTGTAAAATATAGTCGTCAATAACATGCATGTCTACACATGAAACGGTGTACAACAAAGGACACACATGGTGTTTTTGGGGTTATTATAACGTTTTTATATTGTGAATCACCAGTTACAAACTTGTGCACAACTAAGATTGTTAGTGATAAGCCTGTTATAGGCACGTATGGAAATGCCTAGGCTATCAGCAGCGTAGTGGGAATGAGTGTTTCGAATGTTGCAAATGGGGGCTTCAAACAGCCATTAAACCGAGAGTGCCCAGTCCGCAGGATGACCATCATCTGCGCATTGTCCATCTGCGCAACCGGATGCTCACAGTGCCGCCATCAGCATCAACAGCTTTTGGTCACTGCGGCAGGAACACGATGTGGGCATTTTGGGGCAACGTTGTTATTGGCAACGTTTTATTTGGGTATGTTATATGTGGTGTTCTGGCAATATGTTGAGCAAGTTCTACAGGGAAAGGAACATAACCATAAATATTGCTATGAAATCTTCACTGACATTTCTATACTGCGTTTCAGAAAAAGAGAACTGCGCTGACATTTTGGCCCAGGATCCGTCATCTACCAACGGAATCTACATTGTAAACCCTAATGACGGCCAGGGACCCATCACCGTGTACTGTGACATGACTACTGATGGAGGCGGGTGGACGGTGAGTGAACAAATATCCTTCAACGAAGAAAGATGTCACCAAAGACACCAATGCAATACACATGCATACCTAGAGGAGAGTGCAATGTTGACCATTTCCTGAAGAACATTCTTGCCCTTCACAACTTGTCTGCTGTTTAGCGCCACATCCAGTAATATTAGAACTAAATAAACGGGTCTGAATAAGTCGATAAAGTGATTGACATCTGAATGTTGTTCTCTTCAATGCAAAGTTCATCACTGATTTTAAGACATCCATTTATACAATTACCGCCCTTGTTTTGTCGTTTTCGCCCAGTGGAATTTGTTTGGGTTTGTAATTACTGGCTAATGTCATGATATAGTTAAATATCGTTGTGTGCGGCGTTAAACAACAAACAAACAAAACGGGATCAAACACTCTTCACATTTCCACGTGCCTCCTCTAGTTAGGACAGTGTAAGAGTGAGTGAGTGAGTTTAGTTTTACGCCGCACTCTGCAAAATTCCAGCTATATGGCGGCGGTCTGTAAATAATCGGATTTGGACCAGAAAATCCAGGGATCAACAGCATGAACATCAATCTACGCAATTGGGATACAACGACATGCCTCAACTAAGTCAGCAAGATTGACCAGCCGATCCCGTTTGTCGCCTCTTACGTCAAGAATGGGTTACTAAGATCAATATTCTAACCCGGACCTTCATGGTTTACAGGGTAAGAGGCAATGTGTTTTCATTAACTAATTCGGGTATATTGCTGATAAACCTAGGATTAACCATGATTCGAACCAACAATCACGCGGTTTCGGCGCGACCAAGGGAATGTATAGGCATGACATAGTCACAATTGTACAATCGACTCTGGTTTTAGCAGGGATTTCTTACAGATGTGGAAAGGGTTTTGTCATTTCTATTTACAAAGCGAATTGCATCGCCTTGAGACAAATAGTCCACCAGTAGCCTATTGTAGGGACATGTGAAATTTATCAAGTATATGATATGCTTTCACCTGCTTGTGAATATTTCCATTGTTTTATGTCTCAGGTGTTCCAGAGGAGGGAAGACGGTACTGTTGACTTTTACCAGAACTGGGCGGAATACAAGTCTGGCTTTGGATCTCTTGGAAGCGAGTTTTGGCTTGGTATGATTACACTGGTGTATGGACACGTGAGATGAGTCTAGATACAGTGCACCATAGTCTAGAGATGAGTCTAGATACATTTCGCTGAGACAGAGCAATACATACTCAAGTTATATGTTTAGTCAAGAGAGGATTTGTTGGGATGCATGGGCTGGTCAGGCCAAGTGCCAAATGCTTGGAGGATCCACAAGACTGCTTTGATAAGATATCAGACCAGAATCTATCACCCTTTCAGCAACTATGATACATTTAACTCTATTGAGTCATGTCTCATCATTTACAATAGAGGAATTGTCGTGACATTACACAATTCCATTCGAATGTTCACACATTCACATTTCAATAGACGGGTTTCGTCTTTCTAACATCAATATTGGAATTAAAAAAACACCATCGGCGACACAATGTATCTATTATAAATACTCATAGCGTAAGGCATATTTAATGAATACGCGTTTGACAACATTTCGATATATACTGTCATGGGCTGTTTACATGATTACATTATCAACTGGGGAGCGGTTGGGCAGCCTAGTGGTTAAAGCGTTCGCTCGTCACGCCGAAGACCCGGGTTCAGTTCTCCACATTGGTACAATGAAGCCCATTTCTGGTGTTCTCCACCATGGCATTACTGGCATAGTGTTAAAAGTGGCGTAAAACTAAACTCACCACTCATTATCAACGAACCGCAACTATATTTCTTTCATAAGCATAAAAAGGGCAAAAAGCCTTTCTAAATCCACAAGAAATGTAATATTAAAGCAGAGCCTAATGTACAATTTTGACAGTATCATGAATCGCTATCAAAATATCGATGATACCAGATGTCACAAACGGTGAGCGGATCCTTTCCACTCGTCAAAACCATATGTAAAGGCTAGTCAACAAATCGTAACGTATGGGTAGAAGACAAAATAGCGAACTGCATCAGACATCATCTTTGTCACTGATGCGAAACTTGTCACGCTCGACCTGCCTTTTTACTCACCTACGTTTTAAGTGCGTATCGGGTACCTATATTTATGGCAACTTTCAATACTATTGTGAATTTAGGAATTGCAACAGGACTGTTCAAGACAATTGACATTGACAGCATTTTGAGCATTCGTGAATGCATATTGTGGAGTCTGTTACTTGTTACTGTTGTTTGATTCATTACATATTTCCCGATCTACATTGTAAATCCGTAAATTGCGGTTCACTATTTGTTTTAACTATTGTTTGTGGTCGATTTCGGCGTTCACAATTTAGTTCTGTTTTCATGTAGAAATCGGTTCGTGACAGAAAGTGGGAGGGTTCGTCAGTAATCTGAACTACACTTGATGGACTGCATGTATCTATGATATACACTCCTAATCTGCCAACGTTTATTCTACTCCAATTACTTTAAATGGGGTTTTCGTGAAAAATTGCATCCGTAAAGCTGTGTTAATAGTGAATTGGACTTAGAAAGGTTTGAACTGAAAAGAGTGGTCCAGACACTTCCAAGAAAAATGAGATTTTGCAGAGGCCACAATCCATTATTTATCTTGAGCTGGGCTCCGTCTATACTAGCTACAGTAGCGCAGAACCAGTCTCGCTCGCCTCGTGCACGTTTGGTGGCTTTTCACCTCGAATCAAGGCGTAATAAAATACAATCCCGATGCTCTTTTATACACAATATGTCACTATTTACACCTCGTAAGGAAAACAAGTCGTAGGAAGAATAGGTTTTCACAGTTAATAACATTTCAGCATAAAATAAGAATTGCACTGAGCGTCGAGGCAGTGATGCCTATCTTGAAGGGCAAAAACGAACAATAAAGTATGGCGCATTTACTAACTTTGTTGACACTAAAAACATGTATAGCAATTTTGAAGTACCCCTGCTGCTTAAACGAAAAGAAAAAAGTTAATGATATACAACTATAAATAAATAAACAAATAAATAAATAACAGTTGTGCAACGCATTAGACAAAACATTTCGTACGTAGGAGTATATGTCCTCCATGTGCTGTGACTCGTTCTCACATTCACAAGTTCTTTCCTACGAGAGTTTGAAGGCGAACGGTGCCTCCTCTGGTCATGTTGGTACTTTCATGGACCATCCGCTCCTGTAGACCTTTTCTTCAAATTAAAGTACTTTCATTTTGAGAAGTATGGTTTGTTTTCTTCCGATAATCCTTAACTCTCTTGAACACAGCTCTTTGTTTCGCCAGGAGCCGCTCCTGATAATACAAGTACTCGCAAGATAAAGATGCCTAGCTATTTGAGTTTTGATGATAACGATGCTTAAGATTAGTTGAAAGGTTTCACAGGAACAAATTTGCTCATCTGGTCTGTCCTGTACATGTATGCATCAGGGTTCTTCACAGTTTTTGTAGGAATTGTCATGCTTGTCAGGTGGGAGGAAAACTTTATCAGAAAAGTACCCAAATTGCCCTACCCTTGGGACAGCAAGGGAACATAGACAATGTGAACATAGACCTAGTGATAGAAGCCTCTCTGGTTGGGTTTTCAATATAATTCCATCAACGTGAGGCATCTCTAGATCAAGTTATGAATGAGTGAACGTGACTGCCACTAATAAAGCATACATTAACTGTAGAGGTGTTTTCACTTGTGATTCATATGACCATCTTGTATCAAGTTATGCTTTTGTCCTTCAGTTGAAGCTCTGAATTTAAACATGTAATCTGTGTTCGCCTTTCGGGAAGGTAATCTACATCTTTCATGGCAGTTCATGGTATATGATGCTGAAGATGCTGCATTACGTTTCAAATCCTGTTCAAAGAAAAGGATTCCTCCTCTGGGCCTGCTTGTTTGGGGAAAGTTCAGAAAGACAAAACCAATATTTATCTCCTACAGTATATTTATAAAATCTGACGTCTTTCGCTCCAAGCCAAGTTTCATAGATTAATGTTTTACATTATTACTTTGTCGCTCCGTTTCCTTTCTAAGCTTACATCGATGCACATCATTTGCAATAATTTCTCATTCTGATTCTTCATTTAGGATTTGCGTAGGCCGACGGCCCATGGTACAATTGATGACCGACAGTATGACAAAACGGCGATTCATTGTTTGTTGCACAAGGAAAGCATTTCTTAGATTTTCTCGGTTCGACTTCAATGATATGAGATGGACATAAAACATATACTGGAATATACTGTTGTTAAAGGTTACCATATGCATTTCAAATTAATAAGTAATGGAAATGATCTTTGTCCTCCAAATAGACCACGTTACACATCCTACAATTCAATGTTATTGTGTCCATCTGTTCCCATATGTAAATATATTGAGCTACACATGGCTCGAGCCATTACCGATCAAAAGTTTACAAATGATAAATATAATGCCAAGGTGAAAGTTTGTTTTTAAAAAGCGCAGTCACTGAATTCTAACCATTACTGAGAGCCAGACTGTGAGTCCTATCCATACACCGATTTCAGAACTAATAGGAGTAATATCATAATAACATTACTATCATAATAAATGTAACGAGTCACAATGTTCTAACCGATTCTCGCCAAATAGAACTTTGAAATGATCAATGAATAGATAAATCGAGATATTCAGTTCGTGGGTGAATTTGGTATTACCTCGTGTTTAGCAATATCTCAGCAATATCATGGCGGGGGTCACCAGAAATAGGCTTCACATATTGTACCCATGTGGCGAATTGTACACGGGTCTGTAAGGAGAAAGGTACCTCACCACCCCTGTTCAGTTCGTAAATAAGTAAAGTGCATGTGTACAGAAGTATTCATGAACATGCTAATATGAAAGTTGATTCAGAGGCTTTCCGCAAAGTAAATATTATGCTTGGGTGTTTACTTAAAAATACTAAAGATAAATATCTATAGGCATGCTTGAATAAAGCCCGTGTAGCAAGTCGTTCAATCAGTTATTGATTGTCCTTTACTGAAACAAGAAGCTCTTACTACACATTGTAATGGCTTGGTGGAGAGGGAATACTGTTCCAATTTGCATGATGGATACAGATATAGTATGACCAGAAATTATTGAGAACTTTAGGAATATGTTTAATTGGATTTCTAGTATAAACAACCTTGACCAGCTATCAAGTGCTTGGTTTCATTCAAGAGAGACAACTCCGTTAATGATTTTTCATTAGCTTGTGAAGAGTTATCCCCCTTTGTTTACTTGCTAGCAGACGACATTTTCAGTGATCCCTAGTATGGATGATTTAGAGAAGAGGAAGTTGATTTTAGAGTATTATAACAAGGACATCAGATCAGCTCAAGTGATTTCAAGTAGAACCGGCATCCCTTTGTCCACTGTTCATCGTGTTTTGAAAAATATTGCAAATGGATATGGTAGGAGGCGCAGGTAGGCCCAGAAAATTGACTGTCGATGACAGGAGGCGGCTTGGTATTCTTGTTTCTAAAAACAAACGAAGGAGTTTAGAAAACTTAAGGCTGGATATGATTGATAGAGGAACTGTGGCTGTCTGTAAGGAGACAATTTGAACTGAGCTGCATGCAATGGGTTGGCAGAAAAGTCGAGGAATTCCATCACCGATCATGAAAACTGAACAAAAGGAGCGAAGGTTGAACTGTTGCTTACAGCATAGAAATTTTAACTGGGACAATGTGATTTTCTCAGATGAAAGTTCTGTGTGGCTGTTTCCTAATACACTGAAATTCTGGACCAAACAAACTGAAAAACCTTTGTATCAGCGCCCAAAGTACAGTCCGAAATTTAACGTGCGGGGTGGCATATCGTGTGGGGTGTTAGGGGCAACGCCCTTCTGTGTATTTGAAGGGAATATGAACAGTGAGCGGTACACAGATATTCTCGAGGAACATTTACTTCCATCTGCTGACGTGTTCTATGGAAATTTTGGAGTTTCCAGCAGGACAACGACCCAAAACATCGTTCAAAGCATTCACAGGCCTGGTTTCGGACCCAAAATATGACATTATTAGATTGGCCAAGCTATAGCCCTGACCTAAATCCAATAGAAAATGTTTAGGGACTTATGAACGAAAGTGTCAATAAGAAAAATCTGACAAATATTGCTGAAATGAAAGAAGAGGTGGTCCGATATTGGGACAGCATGGACCACGACTTTCTAACTTCTTTGATCAGTAGTATGCCCCGCCACATTGAAGCCTGCATTGCTGCCCATGGTGACTTGACAAAATACTAACTGTTCACCTGTCTTTGAATCTGGAGTTATGTTCTGCTAATATTCACATTTAATACGTTAGTAATGAGTGAAAAAAATGAAAAAGATTACAATCTTTAAATTCTCAATAATTTCTGGTTGTACTGTATTAAGTTGCTTGATATATAGTGTGCATCTTTCACATTTGCATATTACAACATTCAAGTCCTCAATAAACCTTTCAAGATGTTTTATGGTAGACATGTGGTGGACATTTTCAAATTTCATGCATCAGTGACAAAAATGATGTCCAATGCAATTCCCTATTTTGGCTTATACCATACGTTCCCGAATTATTTCAGGTGAACAAATGACTAGACTTAGCATATGTTTATGACGGGAGCCACCGGTGGGGCAGGATACGCTTACCTTATCGCGAACACCTGGTATCATCACTATTTCATAGCTATTCATAAACACATGCTCTGTCATTGTATCGGATGGTGAAAATCACTGGATTGTCTGTTTCAGATCCGATCTGTCTACAAACAACATCATACAGCTGTAACACTGCTGAAACAAATATCTGCTCATGATATGGTCACAATTGTACAAATGACTGCTTTTGGCAGAGATATCTTATGAATGTGGACAGGGTTCTGCAGCTTCTATTCACATCTGGTCAATTTTTCGATTCAAACTGAGCATGCGCGAACTACTACTGCAAGGTAGCAATCGGTACAGATAAGATATATATACTTGAAGCAGTGTTATGTGAAGCAAAGTAGATACTTGTCAGTGTATCAACAGGGATTAATACAATGATTATATGTTGGTGAAATAAACGAAGTGTTATGTATAATTCTAATCATTCATGGCCAATACCTATTTGACTGAAACAGTACTCAACTTACTGGAACGGTAATGATTAAACCTGAAAACAAGTCTTCTCCGACCGGGCCACCAGACGTTGTAGCATATTGATCGGCTGTAAAGTAGTTAGCTGCTGCAAAGACACTTAACTATCCTTGGTCCTGCTACCGTTGATTTCCGTACATATGAAAACACATATGTCTAAATGTACAAAAACGAAAATGCAAAATTTAAGTTAAAATTTAACATGCTGATATAAATGTAATGTTTTACATGGCTTAATGTTTTCATATGACAGATGCCCCTGAAAACAGTTTGACTTTCAAGCTTCAAAGAATGTTTATAATTTTCGTGTTGTTTCCGTATCTAATAAAAATGACTTGTACAGTATTTACAACATTTTAAAGGTTCTTTTTATGAGCATAGATACTTTCAGGATCTGTGCAATACATTGACGATATGAATTCGGAGCAATGACGATCAGGGAATGTGTATAATTACACGTGCTCTCCCATGTTGGTGTATTCATTTAAAATCTGACTGTATATATTTGCTTATATGCCAAATTGTACGATAAAAATAAGTGCTGCTTCAAACATATACCCATACATTTACCCAACGCTGTCTAAATGATCTTTAGTCCGACATTTGCAAAAGGGGACATTGGTTTTAGATATGCAAACGCAACAATCCAGGCGAAATTCATATGTGTACCCGTCAAAAAGCAAACTTGGAAAGGCAATTGGTTTGGTTGTTGATAAGCAAAAATGGCGCCGTCTCAACTTAAAACTGCTCAAAGATGGCAGGTTATTGGTATTCGGATTGCTTGCATGTCATAAAGGACTGTTGCAATTGATGTTGGTTGCCATCCATCGACTTTCAGCTGATAGGACAGAATTCATTAGCAAACTTATGACTTTAAGGAACGTAAGCGTTCGGGTAGACCAGGATTTGCCGCTCCTTGTGATGAGACAGCCCTTCTCAGAACCTGCAGTTACAGCATATATATTGACATTGTTCGCAGTTATGTGATTTCTGGAGGATCGAATGACTTGTTAACGTCGTACAGCCACAAATATCATCACTACAACATGAGTTAGAAAATTTGCATGTTTGTTTTCTCTAAATCAACTACAGGTTCTCGTTCGTTTCGCTTCTAGAGTTGCGATTTAATTATTCCTTGAGTTTCGATAAGTTATTTTGCTCTGATTAATGGTAACATAATGATATTATGAATACTATGGGGTGTTGTGATACATTTTACCGTGTGTATATTATTAACAGACAAGGACTACGTGTTGTTGTTTCTTTTCTTGACAACATTAACATTAACGCACGATCCACACGCGTTTCTGAGGTTTATATTCTGAGTGTTTTTTCAGATCCGGGCGCATACACATTCCGTGTTTTACACTACAGCATGTGTTGGAACCTCAGGGTGCACATGTTGCTTTTCATGTACTCTGTAGAATAAATTGACCATGCTGAGACGCTTGGGTGAGCAGTCACTCCTTGCAATCTTTGCTCACTACGCGTGAAGATCACGGATAGATTTCATACTCAGCAGCCATGTTTGTCTAACGGGATCGGGTGGTCAGGTTCGGTATCCAAACTGCGCAGATCGATGCCCATGACGCCAATCGTTTATGATGACCGGGGTGTTGCGCATGACAGTCAACATGGTGCCTGCATTCAAGCACCCTAGTCTCATCCAATGTTTACATTACTAGGTCACATTGATCAAAGGCCCAGAGCAGACAGACTGTGTGGAAAGTTTGAAACGACACCCTACTGACCAAAGGCAGGCAGTGACGGTCCATTAAGATATGATAGTTTATCCCACTATTAGAAACAATCCACGGTGCCGTGTTTAACGCAAAACGCGTAGTAGACAATTGTTTCACTGCAGCTGGGGATGACGTTTGAATGTCATCACCACAGACCCCATGTCCGGGCAGCTCGCTGATATATCCAAGGCAATGGCGAATATCAGTAAAAGGGTCAAAGCAGCACCCTATTGACTGCCACTCTGGATTTGTTTTGGGGATTCACTCCCTTTGCCGTTCCGCCCAGGCTGACGGGTCCTCCTCCTCAAAACGTCTGGGTTTGAGGCACCAGATAACCAACTTACGCCCCTTCTGGCAGTGGGACCACCATTCGGTCAGAACCTAAACATGACAGTTATAGGCTATTACAGGCGCATATGGAGGTTTACACATATTTGTAATTTATCCCCAAAAGCCATGGCTTCAACTTTGTCATGTCCAAATTCAGTGCTGAATTTAAATTCAAAAGTTAAATACTTCAATACACATTGCAACAAAAGGGGAAAATGTTGTGTTCCCCTTTATACGAGATTAGAACGATTTCAGTGAAACAACTTTGGCTTGATCATCCTCAAGCAAAAACAAACAAATCTTTCTTAGAGTTGTCCCATTTAACAATTGATTCTTTATGTAGTAATTGAAAATAAAGCCATTATCAAATCACTGTTTGCTTATTACATAAGGATCGGAGACCGTCTTAGCAAAAACATTCTAAGCATAAACAAATCATACGTTATATATATTCTCTTGTCTTCTGTACACATCAATCAGAAGTGTATAATGCCCATGCTTCGGGCCACCACGACGGTCTGTTGTTGGTTACTAAGCAAGGTTCAAGTAACACAATGGCTGACGCTGTTGCTACAGCAGCACTCAACAAATATGTGAAAGCACTTCTAGTACCATATTGTTTCACTTTGTAATCAAAATATAACATTTGTGTGCTAATGCAGTAGTGTTTACTATTCTTTACATCTACATGCGATGTCAGTCTTGACTTGATGAGGTCATTAGATGTGTTGACCATGCTTGATGTACGCACGGATGTAATAGTACTCTCAGTATTTCGGGCTGGCTAAACTTTATCTCTAAACATTATATAAACTTTAAACTAAATATTGCCAGTGACAATATGCTGGCAAATTTTGCTGGCTTATGTAGAGGCAGCAGAGATGTATTACGTTCCAATCGTACCTGGTATAGTGGCATGATTTGTTTTCCTGGTGATCTAAATCCCCATTCTGATCTTGTATTATTGTCTAAAAGTATGATATTTTTAATATCTTACAACTTCTTTAAATCCAATGCATATCGGTATTGTCCTGACGATTAAATATCACATGTATTAAATGTAGTATTTAGAGTCATAAAATCGACGGGGCTCTTTGTACACATTCACTTACTCAACTACATGTTCTACCATGTTTCTTTGAAGGTAATGATATACTTAATCGCTTGACATCGGCGAAACCATCACAACTGAGAATCGACATGAGAGACAAGAATCAGGCATCCGGGTATGCAAAGTACTCCTCCTTCTCTGTGGGGCCTGAAAGTAACAACTACAAACTAACGGTTTCAGGCTACAGTGGGGACAGAGGTAAGTTCGTGGACAGCTCAGGTGACTTCACTACCTCCGGCGATCTGATTGGCTAACACATTACACTGAATGAATGTGTTTCTTTAAAAAATATTTGTACTCGTTTTTAAAATTATTCCTACCAAGATAAAACATCAGATAGTGACATCTTGGATGATAGACGTTTGAGTTTCCCTCTCATTTTCGCACGTGCATTTGTTGTCATTTTATTAACCAATTTGATTGGGCTGACGAGCTAGTTTTTCATACTTCCGGCACAGCAACTCGGTCTTTGGCGATTTAATAAAACCCATCAAATGCATCCCCACGGAAAGCGCATGTATATGCCTCCTACATACATCGGAGATATGGACAAACGCTTTTGATACTTGTGAGACCTTTAAAATACGATATATTCATTGACATGTGCGTAATTGTCCGGTTTTCGATCATGTCACCGTATTTCTGTGATGAACCTTTATGTATTATATAGTAGGGGGTGTTGATACTAAACCGGGGCCTAGTTTATCGATTTTCTGACCCGCAGTGGGGGCCTGTGCATAACGGCATGTACTTTCTCCAGGTGACTCGTTAACCAGTACTCATAACGGCATGGACTTCTCCACCAAAGACAGGGACCAGGACACGTGGGGCAACAACTGTGCTCTCGCGCGGTACGGTGGCTGGTGGTACAGAGATTGTCACAGCAGCAACCTGAACGGCCTACACGGCAACGACGGCTACAGTAACGGCATGAACTGGGAAAGCTGGCACGGTTTCTACTACTCTCTTATGTGGACTGAAATGAAACTGAGACCTGTTTAGAAGTTGTTATTATTTTGTTGAATACCTACTTCATAATAACATAGCTACGTAGCTGCAGTGTTAATTCTCAAACATCGGTTTGGTCCATTCACACACAATGGTTCAATAACTCTCGCTGCTGCACAGACAACACACACACACACACACACACACACACATCTACCTATCTATCTATCACTCTTTTTACAATGACGTGTGTGATTAGAGACGGTTCTTATATCGATTTTTTAAAATGAATTGCCGTTAGTTGAAAATTCATCAACCGACGTGCGCCCAGATAACATACTGACCTTGGGCCAACGTCATCACTTTCGGTCATGAATTTCGTTAGCCGAGAGCCGCGATGCGGTCTTTTTCAGTCTTGACTGAAGTTAGTGAAATCTGTGTTTTCAATTTCAAGAAAATCATCAATCATGTTGGCATTTCTGAATGTACCATGACTGTTTTTCGGTGGGCACAAATCGGAAATAAAGTTGAACATAATAAAAACACATAATGAAACACTTACCGCTATATATTCAAGGAAACCTCTACTCCGATGGCCCAGGTTGTGATCATGTCGCGTCGTCTGCTCGAAGAATCAGAGCACCTTCTAGGAAAAGCTAACAGTTCGGAGTAGCGTCCCTGGAATACAATTTCCGCGATGCTATCCGACGTTGGGCCAAGGTCGGGCCAACGTATGCCAACCATTGCCAACGTTGGGCCAACGTCGGAATGCTATCTGGGTAACAGTGTTTCGCCATAATGTCTCCACCCTTGTGCTAGGAGATAATATATGTTGATTTATATTCGTTTATACAATTAGACACAATTTTGAAAAGCGATTAATAAGTCAGTTATGGTCGTAGTCGCATTATATTATCTGTTCAGTTTGTGGATACAGTACCGTGAGGCAACTAACAGGATTTATAATTCAGTTTTTTATTGGCTTCAGTTTAATTACGTGTCTCAAGAGCATTGTTGCGTAGCACACAGATATAACCTGTCGTAAATGCTCAAACGTTGTCTCCATCACTAATGTCAGGAGACTGCAGAGATTACAAGCCGTGGAATGGTGCGCTCACAGAGCTGATTGCACAACATGACTCACTTACCAACGTAAATCAACGGCTTGACGAAATGGCGTTACAGTATGATGAGTGACTTTAGTTTTACGCCGATTTTAGCAATATTTCACCAATATCACGGCGGGGGACACAAGACATGGGTTTCACACATTGTACCCATGTGGGTTACCATACCGCTTGAACTATTAGGCTACCCCACCACCCCTACCTTAAGACGAACGTCGCTGGGGAAGAGCTGTTAACGTTTGACCGAAGTGGTTTCCTTTATCTTTCCCTTTCATTTCAAATGTATCCTGATTCTATGAATAGAAGCATTTATTGGACCGTACTTCAGTGCTTGACCACCTATTAAGCCGTTTTTAAAAAATTATTTTTTACCTATGTTTTACATAATAGCCAGTTTTCTAAATCAATAGAAAGAGAGCTCACTTTCCTGCAGGGATGAAATAAATATTCAGTAGCTATTTAAAATCTGAATTGCATCCTGTGTTGCATAATGTATTGTTGGGTTAATTTTGTAAAATAATATGCAGAAATTGATACTAAAACCATGGAGCTGTGTGGTTACAAATCTAAAGTTATCTGTGCTCTGAACAGACCACCACGTTATCATGTTTAACACAACTGACTTGTATCAACGTTGAGCAGCAGTGATGAACTTACCGTGAGATTTTAAGTGAATGAAAAAATGTGGATGTGTTTCTCATGGAAGTTGTTTATCCCACATGCGGGTTACGTATACTATTTATATAGATTAATACATCCTTATATTGTTTGTCATGTGTGTTTATCACAAATATTTAGTCCGAATGCACTGATATTCGTAATAGTTGGAGTGTTCATATTTCACAAGTGCAATTATTTTAGAAAGTTGACATATACCCCGTTTATGTTCGGTGCCTTTTGTGTATTTTGCAATATTTCTTTAACTTGGTTTTCGAATCTTGCTGAAAACAATTGATTGAGCTTTTCTAGAATCAAAGATGTAAATAGTGTATCTCTTCCCAATGTTATTAGACTACGTATTGATGATATCTGTAATTTTCAGGCCACATAAACTTAGTAACTATGTTCCTTGACTACCATGAAGTTTCCTTTGTTGACATAATTTCATTTTCCTTTTGTTTGATCCAATTCATAAAATTATTGTTTTTCAATGTTAACTTGTATCCCGGAGTCATCAGGAACATATGTTGTGTCATCAGCAAAATGTGATTGTCAATAACCATTATCTTGCCTCACACATAAATGTCGTTTGCTGATTGGCTGAGCGCTCTTCTGTTATTTTCAATGTACCCCGCTCACAAGCCAGTTACATTTTCTATGTACCCCGCTGGGAATGCCGAACTCATTTGGTACTTCGTAGTAGTAATTCTTTATCTCGAATAACATTGAATCACGTATGATGTACGGAAATTACCGATGTTTTGCGAATGCAAATCAGTGGAAGGGAGATAACTCTCAATTTGTTTTTCTTGTCTTGTCGTCTGGTACTCCATGTTCCTTTCGAGCTCAGGGAACATAGACAAACATCGAGGGTACATCAGCCCATGTCCCCGTCGAGACCAGTGAACAACTTATAGTATTCCCTATTATATTCCCTTGATATGTGGATCCTTTGCTGTCAATATTGCCAGTATTTATAATGCATATGTCCTCTGGACATTTCAAATAAAGATGAATCGATACCATTTACCAGTACTCGAGACTGTATATCATTGTATAACATGCTGACATGTCGCCCTGACAGAAAACATCTAATGACAGTGTGAAAGTTTGCCTATAACTCTCCAGATAGTAAACAGTCTTGGGATTGGGAATATTCAAGAATGTCATGTGTTTATCTTGTGATTTCTCCAATAAAATTTGAAAGACATCAAGCTTTTTGGTCTTCTTTTATTGATATAATAAGCACTTTTTCTATGCAAAATTGGTTCCAGACGAATGTATTATATCCATCTGATTTTGCATTGTCATTCTATAGATTTCAACTCCTTCAAACTCTTGCGAAATTGCAGAGTTAAGCGTTCGAATGCCCTGTTTACCTAACAACACATCTTAGGTTATATTCAAAGTCTCTGTACATCCTAAGATATTAACATTATTAACAACTTTGTGAAATATTTGAAATATGTTTATTCTGCGAAACATTGTCAGCAAAATCGTTTCTTCGATCCATATTATGTACACATTTGGTAACTGAATTATATTATGTACTATTTTGTACTGTATGGCCTTATATGCAAATATATCGCTCTCTCACATCTTAGGTTATTGTACTAGTGTCGTGCATACTATACAGCGATATCGTTGAACCTTTAAAATAATTATATTCTACCTATTAATCAATTACCCATTGAATCTTCTTATGGCGTGGCACATAATGAAGATCATTTTGACACTGTCCTCTCATGTTCAGGTCTCGCATGTGTCCAACTGCCTTTGAAGAGCACAAACAAACCTTGTGTCTGTGTATATTTCCTCTAACTCTCCATTTTCATGGGGCAAATTTACAAGATACTATGTTTACAATCACTTAAACGGAATTTTTGGGATTTTCTTTAGGTTTAAGATTATCAACATTTGTGTAATCGTATTTCTCTGTTCCAGTATGGGTACTGTATGAACAAAGCAAGTTGAAAAACGCTTAAGATACTGTATAGTACTGTATTTGCAAAACCTGACCATGAACATAATGCTTCATGAACGCATAATACGTTAAATAAAAATATGGTTAATGCAAAGTATGTTTGTTTGTTTGTGAGCAATATTCAAGCGCTATGACTTCGGTCATAACAATTGAACTTGGTCAGTGATTGACATCATGAGTATCGATCTGTGCGATTGGGATACAATGACATGCATCAACTAAGTCTGCGATCCTGACCACCCGACCTCGTTAGTCGCGTCTTACAAGCAGTGATTGCTGGAGAGCCATGCTGAAGAGGAGCATACCCTTGTAACCATTGATTCCACCTATTTGGATGAGCAGTCGCCCTTCATATTCACCAGTGTGTTCAAATTACGAATTAAGCACGAATGAATTTAGAAGCTGTAGGACAAAACTGGGCCACATATAAAAAAGAAACAAATAATTCGACGGCCCATAGAACATTGGAACTCATCTCTTAACATACGGTTATAGGTATTCATCGATTTCAGTTATAACCTTCAAGGACAGCAGCCGACGTCGAACATGGCATAGGCGTTTGGATGGTATATTTTATTGCAGCATAAGAGGAAGACTCATACGCAGACTGTCTCGGGGGATGAGGGGCGGTATACATACCCAACCGGAAGTTGGAAGTCTACAATGTGATCATACCCGATCACATGAAGCTTCACTTCAATGTTTTAAACTTAACCTGACATATATCATGCCCCAAGATGATTCCGGATCATAATTCATATAGCAAATACTGCCCAACACATGAATATATGTCCAGAACCCTTTGCCTTTCTTTTGGTGTCATTTGGAGCAATACACAAAGTCGAGATCCAGGAAACCAAAGCTGAATAAGTGGTGTTATTCTCGAATTTGAGTAGAGATAAAATGGATAGTCGCTGTCAACAAAGGTATCGTGTTCTGTTGTAGATGGAATGACACCAGATATATTGGGCCACCGGTTTCTTGCTGGATCAGTTCCTTGTAAGTTCCAAATGTCACAGCCAGGGAATAAGGAGTCTGGATTTACTGACCAATCAGAATCCAGCTGGCATAAAGGCTAAGACTAAACTCCCAAGAATAATACCGTGAAATCTCATTTTGACCTGAAGGGAAAGCTCACTGCCATACTTCAGTCGCTTACAAGCACATAGACTATTATGTGCTTCAGGACAGTGCAATACAGCATGCATATTAGGTTTGTGTCGTGTAGGGCAAAATTGAACAATTTCGCCAGGCATCTATGTTTTTTTCTGCTTTATTTATCAAACCAAACAATCAGAATATGGAGAAACAATAAGTCTGTTCAGAAAAAAAATATTTTACAAGAACAATCTCATCCAATATAACTCTGTGCTCTCCAGGATTCTTTTATACATTACGGAGATTTATTATACTGACTCATGTCCTACAAATTAAGTACATGTAACGCTTTTGACTTAATTTTGCTATACCTCTATGGACCTCCTTTTGATCAAACAGAGATACATTTTGTAACGTTACTGAGGCATTAATGATGCAAACTAAAACACATTTGACTTTATTCATGATCCAGGTCACTGAGCCCATTACCTTAGCTTTCCTTTCAAAGTCCTCTCTTGGTGTACTATGCACGGTTCGCTTGCAGAATACAACCAACAGACAGGAAAAGGATGCTGCAAAGAATTTATTGGGAAGGAGGCCAACGTTTCAGGATAAATTTTGAATGTGAACAAGGTGCTTCCCGCTAGCCTCAGAAAGATTATACATCAGCATTAGGACGAGGTGTGATGAATGGATGAGCG